CACTTCTGTGCCGAGCGGGTGACAGAGCACCGGGACAGGTTGCTCAAAGAAGTTATGGAGTCTCTTCCTTGGATATCTTCAAAAGCTGCCAGGACTTGGTCCTAAGCCTTTTCTGGGTATCCCTGCTTGAGCAGAGGTTGGATGAGACCTCCAGAGGTCTCTTCCCACCTCAACCTCTCTGTGATTCTGTGAAAATATCATTTGTCTCTATGACACCTCAATTTCTAAGTAAGAACACCACAGTTTAAAACGACATGGATTATTAAGCTAAGGTTACACTCCCATTGCTAAACTGAGTTGTAATTATTAAAGCAGAGTTACTAATCAAATTTAGTAACTCTATTTAATGAAAATCTTAGCAAATCAAAGCTGAAAATGCTTTAAGTGAAATGACACATAGTCCTGATATGAAAGCAGTACTGTATCTGAGTCTGTTTCCTAAGCTTCCTGAACACCAGTAGAAAAACTAACTTCACAATGACACCACTTCTGCCCTTACTACCATGCTTCACAAGGCCAGGGAAGAATCCATGGAGAGGCCAGGATGAGGAGGGAGGCTCCTGTCTGTCCTTGTGGCTGACTCCAAACTTCGTGAGGCTCAAACAGAAACTGAATTCTGGTGATGCAGAATCAGGCCCACTAAGGTCAGATCATCAACCCTGCCTTAGACCAGTGGGTGTAAAAGTCAAAGAGACAAACTGCTGGGGAAAAAAAAAAAAAAAAAAAAAAAAAAAGTAAAGTTATTCCAAGATACATTTTTTTCTTTTTAATTTCAGCAGGCTTTTTTTTTTTTTTTTTCTCCTGATCCATGTGACATGTTAACATCATTAAATCTGTTGTTCAATAGTATCTACTGGGATTAAAATTTGGTAAGAAGTGAATTGTGTGAAAGATGAAACATGAGTCTGGTTTGTCCCAAATTACACCTATTAGGAACATATTCATCTCAGACTATACATGAAGTTGACCTGAGTCAAAGGGAAAAGCTTTAGTTTTAATAGGAAACACTGATGAAACACTTAAACCAATATATTTTCTCACCCATTTAGCCTAATCCTGCAGAACTGCAAGGCTGGTTATACACTAAGGATTCTTGAAATTTCAACAGAAAAATTCACAAACACAAGACAAGAGTTGGAAGGTAGATAGTTCTCTGTAAAATAGTACAGCTTCCTCTCAAAAGTATGCAAGCAGGTTTAATGTTGACTGCTTTGCTGAGATACACTAATGCAATGCAGAAGGTGCATGGAATGGAGATAATTTTTCTGTGTTCAGTTGAAAAATAAATGTATACAATGCTCTCCAGAAATCAATATATAATTCCTATGTCTGAAATCAAGCTGAAGCTGGATTTCCAATCATGAGCAAAATCTCCTGCTTGTAATGTGCAAACCAATGTATGCCAATAGTTGAATGTTTCAGCTTTGGTGTATTGTGTTCTGATGAGTAAGAATCTTGTACTATTCATGTTTTGCAATAATTTCAGCTCTCTCTGTCAGTAAGAGAGATTCTCTGAATAATGTATGCAGTGCAAAAGAAACGAACAGAGTTTAAATAAAACACGCAAGTGGGAAGGGGAAAGAAGAAAAAAGACTATCTCCAAACTGATACAGATCAGATCCCTCTTGCTGGCTTACAACAGAGTCTGTGCTTAAACAACCTGTTTCGTACACATTCACACTTAAGAACAAAAATGTCTGGGCCTTTTTGAAGAAAACTAAAACATGCATGACAATCATGAGATAGATATTAATAAGATATACAAAATCACCACAATTCCAAAACTACTCCTGGATGAATATTTGTCTGTATGTTTTTATCTAGTGAAAAGAAAAAATAATCTACTTTTGGATTGCAGTGAGTTACCTACCAATACACCCTTCATAATCCTTTGAATTTGTCTGTTTACTGTCCCTAACACATGCACATTCAGAGACTGCCCTGAATCTTCACAAATAACCTCTGCAGCAAATGGAAACAGAACTAGAGGTAACTGGTCATGTCTTAGATCTTCATGCTTGAGCTCACATGCATATTCAGTTCAGTCCAGCAGCTCTAATGCTTTTGTACTGTGTATCTGGAGACCTGTGTGTGCTGAGGAATTTTTCTATACAAATAGCAAGATCCAAAGCCACTGTTTCACAGGGGTTTGGGAAAGAGTTATCATTTCATATTGGCATGAAATCGCTTAATTCAGAGCTGATGGTGGGGGTTCTTTAATTAGGTTAGAAAATCTCTCACACATCTGTGCTTTAGAAGCCTCTGTCAAGCCAGCAAATTCAATCACATGGAAGTCAGTGTCCTCCAGCCATCAGACAATTGATTTTTGCAGGATTCTGCTCATATTTAGCTTAAGGGACATTTGATATGTTCATTCAGTTGTCAGTCAGTTTGACTATGTTTTATGAGGAGAACATTTGTTTAAAAAATATTCTATGGTATTAAAACATTTTAAAAAAAATAAGAAAGTCAGATTATTAGCACAATACTGCAAAATTTCAAATAAATAAGAGCTTGGGCTAAAAATACATGTTGGTTTAAGTGGGAAGTACAGACCTATAGGAAGCCTGTAGGATTATGTCTATTTAATACAGACAGGTACAGAATTATATTAGCAGACACACAAACATATACGTTTATTTTCTTCTTTTTCTACCTTCCCCCCTATACTGTACAGATTCATTGTCTCTGAGTTATTAAACTCCTTGGAAATGAAAATGGGTTCAGTTTAAAAAGAGAGAGAGAAAGAGAGAGAGAGAGAGAGAGAGAGAGAGAGAGAGAGAAAGAGAGAGAAAGAGAGAAAGAGAGAAAGAGAGAAAGAGAGAAAGAGAGAAAGAGAGAAAGAGAGAGAAAGAGAGAAAGAGAGAAAGAGAGAAAGAGAGAAAGAGAGAAAGAGAGGAAGAGAGGAAGGAAAAGGTTATGAATCAATATTTCTATAAATGACAGCAAATACAAGGGACAAGTTTTCCTCAGTTAAAACTGTGCAAGCTAAATGTAACCTAAGCTGGTTCAAAATGAGAGAGAAGAATCTACTGTGGATCATAATGAATAAAGTTTTGGACAAACACTTTTTTGAATCTAAAGCATTAAAGTCTTACAGTTTTAAAGAAGTGGTTCAACTTCAGATAATCTCAAATGCATGCAAATCAGAATTAATTCACTAAGATTCCAACAGAAATACTCTCTATACTATATATATACTCTATACTCCCTAATCCAAAAAGTAACAATAGCCTCTGAAATTATTTGGTAGAAGTGGCTGTGTAGGCAGAATCTCAGATAATTGACTTTATCTAAAATTACTGATTTCAATATAGAAAATTTTTAGTTCCCTCCTGCTTCACTAAAAATTAAAGTTTAAAAAAGCTACTGTGTCATTTGTCTTCATGGACTATATAATCAGTGCCTGCAAAAGTTGACATGCATTGTAATATTTTCTCAATGAGTTACACATGTACTGATCTGATGCCTTCCAGTTTCAAAGCACCTTCTGAAATGCTTCTTCCTTATGGAATCTGATATTGATTTTCACGCTAAACACAACTAATACATTGCTTAATATAGAATTCAGACTTAATAAGATATCAATCTCTCCTGCATAAAATGAATGGAGCCATTTTGGCAGCTCAGAAGCTTTTCCCGTTAAATAAGGTGGCAAGGTCATCTGAAACTTAGAGTGCCAAAGTCTCATATAAATAAATTCAGTGATCTTTCAGTAAATAATATATGAGAACTGCACAGTACATTGTATGTTTACATATTAAAAAGCGACACAGAGATGGCTGTAAGAAACTGGAGAGAAACACAGGACATATTTAAAAGGCATAATGGACAGTAAGACCTTCTCCAGAATGTTTCTATTTTAAACTCACTAGGCAATGTTGCTTAGAGCATCTAGTTCCAGAGGCAATTCACTCCTGAATGAAGAGAAGGGATTCAAAAACTTAAAGGCCACAGAGCAAAACCTTTAGAATCAAATCCTGAAATATGAACATCCAAGTAGTCATGCTACTACAGTCTTCAGCTTTGCCACACTGTATTCCACTGTCTTACATAATAAAATGAATTTCTTCTTATAAACCTCATGTATGTGAAGATAAATAGAAATGATGCTTTGCCACTTTCTGAGACTGAGCAGTATCCAGCATGTGTTTTAGCTACTACTAAAGACCCTGAGGTGATCTAAATGTAGAAGTTCACGTAATTATATTCTGCTTTAAAAATAATAGAGAAAATGATGTTACTGCATTTGGTAAGGGCATTTCATTTTGTATTTTCCTTTCATGGTGCATGTGCATCTGTGCGAGCGTGTGTGTGTATAAAATATATAGTAGGAAGAGAATATTTGTTCCAGTTGAGGTGGTCTGTGAAATCAAGTAGATCAGATACTAACTTGATTTGGCACCAATGTATGGATGCATAGAGACATATCCACAGGATGTATGCATTACGAGATCATAAGAGACATTTACAACCTAGAATATAAGAGCAGGGCTGCCTCAAGTGACATCACCAGATCAACTGCAGCGTCAACCAACTCAGATATATTATCCTGCACACCACTGCTTCCCTGTCTCCCTTCCAAGCATTAGAAAAGCATTTGTGAGCACAAATATTATCATATATTTTGAAATACATGCAAGACACACCACACCCGAAAGCAAACAAGAGTAACTGTGGGGTTTATGGACAGATCAAGACATTCATAATTTTTCTTTACAACAACAAAATTCATCTCCATAGAAACCAGAAAGCAAGAAACTACAGTAATAACACTAAAGTAAATGTCACATCAGGTTAGTCAGCACAAAGCAGGAGAGGGGATTTTGCTCCACTTAGAACTAGCAAGGACTGCTGCCCCTTTTCCTCTTCTGCTACGAGAATCTACACTGAAGACAGGCTTACTGATGTATTTCCAATGCAAGATAATGATGCGGTTTCCTGTTATTTTCACTGCAATTTACCCATAAGGTGGTCAGATCAATGGCACGTTTACTTACAGGCATTTGTTACAGCGAAGCTGTTAGCTGTTTCAATGTTGTCTACATGAGGAACCAAATTAAAAGGTGCTTCAGATGCATTGGGGCTGGTGTTATGAAGAAAAATTGCTAATCGAAAAGCAGTATATTCCTGATCTGTGTTCCTGATGAAGAGACCACCTACAAAAAAAAAAAAAAAAAAAAAAAAAAAAAAAAAAAAAAAGGAAAGAAAAAGCAAAAAGGAAGAGGAAGCAGGGTGAATAATTGGCAAGCTACTCACTATCTTGCAACAGCAAGCAACTATCTCTCCCAAAGCTGCACAGTAAAGCAAGTCCTAAGACTTTAATGGGTAAGGAACTAATCATATTCATAATCACAACTGCTGCCTTTAAATCACTGTCGTCAATCGATTTTAACCTCTCTGATGCATTCATGCTTCTTTTCTGACTTCTCAGTTTCCAGCCTTTCATATATAAATACCCAGAATTGCCATGATTACAGTGACCTTTGAAAGTGTTTAGCCTCCATCTCCCTGCTACCGAACACACTGGTAAATCAGCTACTCAACAGCCTCTTTACATTAAGTGGCGGGCTAATTAAGGAGAACGATGCTTTCTGGATTAAAATAAAATACCAACTCAGTGCAGGAGAATCTGCGCTGAACGGGAATATAATGAACTTTGCTCCTCTGCAGCCATGTGCAGGCAGGGAGCAGCTCAGCGTTATTAGCAGCATCTTTACAAGTCCACGAGAAATGATGCAGTGATGGAGCTGGGCTGGAAAGAATTCAGCTAGCTGCGTCCCATCCGAAACACGGCTGAAAGGAGGGAAGCAGGAGGCGACGGGAAAAGGGTGGGGAGGGGGCACAGGACTACACGGAGAGGCTTGCAAAATCCCAAACTTTCCAACTGTGGAAAGGGAAAGAAGGGCAGGGTTGCCTTTTACCCCCCACCCCTGCCAGCTACCGCAACCTCCAGTGCACGTAACTCGCCATCCCTCTGCGAGCCAGGCAAAAGCGGGGGATGCTGGCGGGGGCCGAGGCAGCCCAGGGGCATCTGCCCCAAGCCCCTTCCTCTCCTACCGATCCCACACACCCAGGAGCGGGAACGAGTTTCGCAGAAGATGAGCATCCCCCTACAGCAGGGGAACACACACACAGACACGTACACACACACACAAACGAGCGCACATACACAAATACACGCGGGCTTTCCGTGAAGGCAGGGAAATGGGATGGTGGCGGAGGAGAAATCTGCAAGCTGCCTTCAGAGCCGCCTTTCCAACTCACTTTGCAAAGGCTTGAACCCCTGGACACACGCACACAGCCCAATGCAGCTCTTACCTATTTGCACACTGCTAGGAAAAGCTCCCATTGCTAGTCCCCAAAAGCCAGAAAACAACAAGACAAGCTGTCTGCAAATTATCCTCATCTTCTCTTTTGCCTCTCTCTCTCGCCTTCTCCCGCTCGCTCTCTAGATGCTGCTCAAAGAGGCATCGAGGACGAGGCGGCTACAAACAAAATCAAGAATTTAAAATAAAAAAAAAAAGGAAAGGGGGAGAAAAAGAGAGATTTCCTCCTTTCTTTTTTCTTTTTTCTTTCTTTCTTTCTTTCTTTCTTTTTTTTTTTCGGATTTTTTTTTCTTTTGTTTTGTCTTAGTATTTGCTCGCTATCCTCCGCCGCTCGCTCTCAGCCTCTCTCCCCGCCGTTTCAGCAAGCCATCCCGCCGCACCGGCTTTTTCCCGCAGTCTCCATCGCCGGGGAGCGGTTTGTGTCCGGCTGCGATGCTTGCACATGCAGAAGATGGTGGGGAGTTTGGCGGCGGGGGGGAGCGTCTAGTGGCGGCGCGGCGCGGCGCGGTGCGGGCGGACATGCGCCGTGTGCCCCCCCCCTTCCCTTTCCATCCCTCCCCCTCCTCGTCCACCCCCCCCCCTTTTTTTTTTTTTTTTTTAATTTACCCCCCCTGCCCGCACCGCCGAGCATCTTCCGCGCCGCCCCGCGGAGCCTCCCCCGGCTCCTTGCGCGCATTGCAGCGCCGGCAGCCGGAGACTTTTCGGGTTTTAACCCATCCATCCCCCCTACACCCCAAAAGCATCCTCTTTTTGCCCCTCGCACATCCGCGGGCGCTCAGCGGCGCGGAAGTTTGTACCGCGGGGCGAGAGGGCAAGGTGACTGCCCCGGGTTGTGTTGGGGACACGGCTGAGACCGCTGTAATTAAGGGCTAATTATTATTAATGAAGGCTTCAGGGCGTATCCGCGTGTGCTGAGCGGCTGCGGAGCGAGGGGGGCTCCGCGGAGCAGCGGGACCCTCCTCGCCGCCGGGGTTTGCGGCAGAGGATGGAGCCCGGGGCGGGGGGGGGAGGAGGAGAGGGGGAAGCGCTCAGCGCTTGTGGGCACTCGTGGCAAAAGGAGGGAGAGAGAATGAAAGGGAAACTTCCCGGCTCCTATGCTGCCTCCTCTCTTATTTATTTATTTATCCTTTTATTTTATTTTTTTTTTTAATGTATGTATTTTAGGTGGGAAAAATAATGGAGCTTTTCGTGTCTAGACACTTAATTTTTGGTGGCTTTTTTTTTTTTTTTTTTTTTTTTTTTTTGTCTTTCTAAACCTTGGAAGTCCCGCAAAAGCAGCTGCCAAAGGTCTGGGGATATTGCAGTTAATAATTAAAAGATACATATAATAAATGGTAGGTAATGAAATCATCCAAAAATAGCTGTATGTCAGAGACAAGAGCTTCTAGTTTTACCTGTGGCTTTGCAGAGATTTCTGTCAGTCCTGGTGGATGACTGATGCTTCAATAAATTAATTTTAAAATGTTAATTGGCAACATGGAAGAATATCGATTTTTAAGGTGAACTTTGTTGTTCTGTATTCAAACATATTTGCTCCAAGAAAATTTTGCCTATTTTCAGCCAGGCTTGCTTTCTTGCTGTATTACTATATCCTGCATCTTCAGGCTGTCCTGTTTTGGGGGTGAAAGACATCCCCTTTAATTGCTGCAGAGGGTGACAGTGATTTCTGAAGAATGATACTGAGTTCCTCAGCATTAACCATGTGCTCTGAAGAGCAAGCAAAGAGCACTGACAACTACAGACACATAAAGCTATTTGCATGGGCATGTGCAAGTGTACGTGACTCTGCGTGGGGTTGGCGGAGTGTGGAGTTCCTGTAAATAAATTTATTTGAGAGATTTATTTGCAGAAAACAGACTTTACTTGCATTTTAGGATACTCACTCCTTTATTTTTCAGCAAGTCTTCTATTTTCCTTTACTTTCCCTCCACGTATTCCTATTCTTCCTCTGAATCTGAAGACCTGTGCTTCACATTATTTACTGATGGCTTTTTGTGACCTCTGCTTTTGCTCTTGCTTGTCTTTTTCTTCCTCCTCCCTGCCAAGAGATCCTTTGTCTCCCTAAATTCTCCCCAAAATTCAGTTCTTCCTTTCTTCCATCCTTTAGAATTTCACTTTTTGACTTTGGAAATCAAATTAAAAAGAAAGTAAAAAGTAATGAAATGTAATAATATTTCCATTCCATAATGATTCCATAATGATTCTTTGCCACCAGTAGTAGCAAGTAAACATGGAAACACATAAAGTATTTAGTTAATTTGACATGTGGTTGTATGAATTCATGCCAAACATATGTAAAAGAGATCAGGTTTTAGACATATGTCCATTATATTGGCACAGCAAGTCAATGCCTATCAACTAAACTAAGGAGAATGCTATGCTTTTAGTCTTTTTCAAATATAATGGTAACATGTTAACTTAAATTTAATTCAAGAATCTTCAGGGGATCATTTCATGCATTCGTCTAACTTGAGCTGACCAAGAGTCTAACCCAGCAGTTCCTATATCAAGTCTGTAATTTCTCTCGGAGTTGAAACATATATTTTAGTGAAACATCCAATCTTGATTTAAAGACTTCAATAGACAGGAAATCCATCACTTTCCTGGGTAAGTTGTTCCAATTGTTACCTACTCTCATTTGTTAAAGCCCACATTTGTCTAGTTTTGGTTTCTAATGTTGAGTATCAGAGATGAAACCAGTACTCCAGTTAGCAGTATCACTGTATGAGTGGTGTTCTGGAGATATTCTCATCCTGTACTTGGTACTCCCTTGTTTACACATCTCAGGGTCATTTTTTTTTAGGTCTAGATAACAGAGAAAAGAAAGAGAAAGAGACCACTATAGCTGTTTAGTTTAAGAGACACAAGGGAAAAAGAAGAGACAAGTTGCAGTGTCAAAAGGGAAAAATCTCATTTCAACAAAGTTTGGGGAAGTGAATAGATGACAGTGTTATGTTACAGAAAAACTGGGACAGGACAAGCAACAGGGATATAATCAAGGTTAAGGCAGGAAGGGAAGAATGGGAAAGTAGGGTTTTTGACTGCTGCTGTGGGGTGTTAACCTTGTCTGACTTTCAGATGCCTATCCAGTTGCTGTCTCACTCCCTGTCCCCAACAGGACAGGGAGAGAAAATGAGATTAAAAGCTCATGGGTCAAGACAAAGATGGGGAGATCACTTACACACTGCTCTCGAAAGCAAAACAGACTTGACCTGGGGAAAACTAATTTATTGCTAATTAAAAATGAAATAGGATGGAGAGAAAGGAAAAAAAAATAAACAAAAAAACAAAAAACACTCCTCCTGTAGGCTCCTCTCCATGGGTTGGTGCTTCCTCCAGGCCACATCCCCCTGCTCCAATGGGGACTCCTCCACGGGCTGCAGGGGAACTTGTGCTACATGCCTGGAGCACCTCTTGCCCTCCTGCTGCACTCCCCTTGGGGGCTGCAGGGCTGCTGCTCTCTCAGCTGCTGTAGACTGTGAAGGTTGTAGTAGGTGATAAAAGGAAAAACAGTCAGAGCTCTGAGCTGGACAATGATAACAGGTCCAGAAATATCAGAGAAATTAAGAAATGATTGAAAAATGTTTAACTGAATGTCTAAGGAGTGTTTAAGGAGGGGATAGTCTAGAGGGGATCTGGGGAGGGACTGCTCATTGTTGGTGGTGAATGCTTGCTTTGCCTCAGGGCCTGTAACAGCTCATGTTGGCCTTGCCTGGAGGACACCACTAGAGAGGACTCATACTTTAGAGCATCAGCTGAGAGTTTGACTATCTGCTGCAGCACCTGAATGAATCCTGCTGCAGAAGGTGCATAAATATGATATAGTTTCCCTCTGGCAAGGATTGGAAACCTTTGGCTGTTTTCTTCATCAGACAGACATGTGCTCGGACTAAATACATTTATGAAGAGACCCTGCAGAAGAGGAAGAATATGAGAAGATTTGTGCTACAGAAGAAATGAAAGCTGCATGTTAGCTAGGAGGAATAAAACTGCAGAGAAGAAACCAGAGGCATTCACCTTATGGGGATCCCAAAAGAAAAGCAGGATTCAAAGGAGGCACAGATACTTGACAGTATGGGCAGAACTTGTAATGCATATGTAATGATAAACACTTACATGCTGAAGTAGCAAATTCAGTTTGCATTTATATGTTCTTTCATCCAAAACACAAATCCCAGCTACACAATCTGTTAAAAAGGCACATTGATATGATTCTGGAGACATGTAACTTTGTGAGGGAGAAGAGGACTTGACTGGGAAAGGGAAAAGAAGCTGTGTTAATCATCAAGGATAGGCTGAGACAATTAGGCGTACGGAGACTAGAAGAGAAGGGTGGTTTTACTAGCAAGAGACACAGAAATAAAGATCCATCACCATCCCTCCCTACCAGGTTCCAGGTGCACTGAGGCAGTGACAGCATGAAAACAGAGAGCATCTTCACTCTGGCTGGTGTACCAGTGATGTTGAATGAGCTTCTTCAGAGTAGGCAATGCCCATGCCACAAGGGCTCCTCATGGCACAACAATCTGGGCAGAGTTCAATCCAGAAATTCAGTCATTTAGATTAGTCTTGTTTCAAATACAATTCTCATTGCAGCTTTCACTATGCGGTCAGCGCAGATGCTTCAGCAATAAAAAATGATGAAGAAAACAATTCACTCAGCACCCTGTCCTTTCTTAGTCCTTTCTTGTGTTATGATATGCTTTAGTTCACATATCTGTCAAATAGATCCATTAGACTGCAAACTCTGGGACAAAGATACGTCTTCTGTGAAGTGGTTAGTACTTCTGGGCAATAAAAAGTAAATAAAATACAAATCATCCACCTAGATTTTTTTACACCCCACCCTTTGGCATGGTCTAACATTACCTTTTGAAATGATACCAGTAGCACTGAATAGATTAGCAGTGCACCAGAACAAGGTAGTTAACAAGATAGGTTCCTTTCAGTAGCAGAACTCATTTTCGGGAAATTGCTTTACAGTGTTTTCTCACATTTTTGTTCTTATTGAGTTATTTTTCATCCATATAAATGCTAGGGTAGACAGAACAGGTAATTATTTTTAATAGTGCTTCTCATTAACAGTGTTATGTTGATACTGAGGCACATGTAGTACAAAGCATTTGGCTTTGACTGTGTTCATCCACTGCTTCCATTCCTTTCCACCACACTGTATGTTAACATAATTCTTTGCAACCTTATCAGCCTTAAGAAATTAAAGTGATATGCTAAGAGACCTTGACCATGAAGTAGAGGTTATTGTGATTATCTTGCAAAAAGCTAAAAAGTCTGGTTATCCTTTTAATCACAATGAATCAGGATTATTTCAGTTTGGAAAAACTGTTGATAGAATTAAGAACTGCCATACTATGTTAGATCTAATGTCCATTTAGAACAGCATTCTATGTCCAAAATAAACTGAGAGTGAGTTATTAGGGACAAGTATGAGGAGCTGAGCAGTCGTTTCTTTAAACCTGAAGGAACTTTGAAAAGATCTCTCCTTGCTGAAAGCTCTCAGCTCCT